CTTCTACGGATAGCTTACTGCGCATGCGCTGAGACTGCCCATCACTGATCATAGATTACCAACTGTGAAGAATAGAACGGAATTAACATGCGCAGACGGAACGAGAAATCGTTTTCTGGTAAGATTATCTCGCTTATAGAATCAAAGTGCAATGCTCGTATACATACATATGTGCATATGCACATTCACACATGTATATATGTTACTTACTTTGTTGTGTGATTTGAAAAAATATGTAGAATAATACAGATTGAAATGGTGGTAATACTGTACGACTAAAATAATTACAGGTTAGCCAACGTGGAATAAATATTGAATTGTTTATATTTTAATATTTAATGAGGCCACCCAGTAGCGCGGTTCAATAGTTCTCAATCTTTGTAATAAAGAAAAAATGCGATGATATGGGAGGGTATGCTAAATAAAAGATCATTGTAAGATACAATATGCACACTCGCGTCACAATTGTGGCAAGAGTGCATGCGCGTTATAAAATGCACTAAACCAATCCGAGTCAACATGCGCGAAATGAACAAGAACTTGTACGACGATACGATTCCTTCGAATTCAACTTATATCTTTCCGTGGCGCTTCAACAGTTGATAATATGTGTGAAGTTAGCTGCTAGCAGTCTACCTGTAATTACATGGAAAGCAAGTAAAGAATAATCATAATTTCTGTACGCAAGATTGTTTACAATTAAGGAAATCATCACTTGCATTGGGAACGTCTAATATTTTTGTCTTCATCGAACAATTTTTGGGATGTATTTGACAATAACCGATGAATAGGTTATTGTATTTCATTTACATTCCCAGTACAAAGTTGCATTATGTTTGTGATTCATCAAACGGTGTAGAATAACCTCGATATGATATTTGACATTTGACCACGTATTTGACGTATGTGAATGATATACTGCTATCACAAAAGTAGTGGAAGTCGTTTTGTTACATGAATCATACTATTTGATGATTTGTTATAGGGCAGATCCACTAATTTACCAACAATTTGAAGCAAGTTAGAGGAATAAATTAATTTGTGACCAATTTTAAGTTTAATATTATCAATTCAAGATGAAGAAGAAGGTATGTAGACTTTGTTTCTTTGTTTTAAACAATATGTTTTGATTATCAATGGAAATTAACATGAATGATTTTCTAGGTACTGTTAATGGGTAAAAGTGGCTCAGGGAAAACGAGTATGAGGAGCATAATTTTTGCTAATTATATTGCTCGTGATACTCGTCGCCTTGGAGCAACAAGTAAGTGCTAGTTTCATTATGTCATTTAATATTTTTAAAGTTCAGTACTTATTCAATGTATGTTTCTTGTAGTTGATGTAGAACACAGTCATGTTAGATTTCTTGGTAACTTGGTGCTAAATCTTTGGGACTGTGGTGGTCAAGAAGCATTTATGGAAAATTACTTTGCATCACAGCGTGACAATATATTTAGGAACGTAGAAGTTTTGATTTATGTTTTCGATGTAGAATCAAGAGAATTAGATAAAGATATGCATTATTATCAAAGTTGCTTAGAAGCGATATTGCAGAACAGTCCAGAAGCAAAAATATTCTGCTTAGTACATAAAATGGATTTAGTACAAGAAGATCAACGAGATATTATATTTAGAGAAAGAGAAGAAGATTTAAAAAGACTTAGTTTGCCACTTGAATGTACTTGTTTTAGAACTAGTATATGGGATGAAACATTGTATAGGTATGCCTTTATAAATACACATCCAATCTTAGATCATAATATTTGAAGATTCCATATAAATTGTCATATTTAGGGCCTGGTCTTCAATTGTATATATGCTGATTCCTAATGTAAAAGAGCTTGAACAAAGTTTGAAGCAGTTCACAAACATTATAGATGCAGATGAAGTACTCTTGTTTGAAAGAGCAACATTTCTAGTGATTAGTTACTGTCAGAGGCAACATCATAGAGATGTACATCGATTTGAGAAAGTTTCCAACATAATAAAACAATTTAAATTAAGTTGCAGGTAAATTTGAAGAAAAGTATAAATCGTGATTTAGAGCTCAAAAGAAGATGATTGTAAGCTTGTAAGAAGATAATTCGCAAATGTTTTTATAAATCCTATTTTCAGCAAACTAGCAGCTCAGTTTCAAAGTATGGAAGTTAGAAATACGAATTTCGCAGCCTTCATCGATGTATTTACGTCAAATACATACGTAATGGTTATTATGTCGGATCCAGCTATTCGTAAGTATTTGTAACTTACATCTTTCTGTCTAAAAGCACTGAAAACTTTCCATGTTGTTTCAGCATCAGCAGCAACATTAATTAATATTCGCAATGCACGAAAACATTTTGAGAAACTAGAGCGTGCTAGTCAAAGCTCAGCATTAAGTAGATAGAAATCAGCTCGACCCAGGCGCGTTGTCACCCGGGTCCAAGCTATTAATCATTATTGAATTAAACAATTTCACTTAAAAAGGAAAACCGGCAGATTGAAAGTGCAGTTGCATGAAAACTTTCGTTTCCTACTAATCAAAGTGAATTAATTATTTTACTAATGAATTAATAATTTCAATATACTGTTCTTGACAAGACCATTGATAATAGTACAAGATCCTTAAGAAAGATTCGTATGATTTCCCAGGAGAGAAATTTTCATTCTTCGTGGTTTTTTAAACGAATGCATACGCAAAGTTTGTTGATAAGTATGTACGCTAATGGTGAACAACAGAAATAAATTTCCGCTAACATGAAATTGTGCGCCATTGATATTGTACTGGGTGAACATGTATCATTGTTTGCTCATGATTAATACTCTTTTGGTTGTTAGATAACATGATTTCTTTTCCTCGTTCTATTTCCTTTCTGTATAGCAATTGTTTTCATCTGTTATAAAAAGATATATTTTCCTACATCACATTCGTATAATAATAATAATAATAATAATGTATTTTATAATAAATATGTTGTATCATAATGATTAGATTCTTTTGCAATATTAATAAAGCAAATTGATTACAATTATTCTTCTCAATTGTTATAATATTTGTATTTGTATGTACTATATTTTGTACAAAGTTTTGGTCCTATGATACTGTTTGATACAAGCAAAACAAATACTGAGTTTATATAAATTTATTTATAATCTCATTAATTAAAAGTAACAAAAAAGGTAATAAAAAGTACTGATAGGAACCTAAATATGTACCGCTAACTTGTATTTTTTATCTGTACAAATAAATATGAACGAATTTAAAGCAAAAAATTTTTTTTATGAACTGTTTCAATAAAGAGATATGTATTATGTAATATCTACTTAATCTGTTCTGTTAAGATAAGTGAATTTGAATTTGCCGCCTTAATAATGGCGGTCGTGTATTGTCATCGTTTCAGGTGATAAAGTCTAGTCAAAGTGTCTATAAAATAATTATGGATAGAATAATCAAAGGGATAATGCGATATAGAAGGTTGCATAGGGATGGGATGGTGAAACAGTTTGAAAATGTTCGAGACCACCCCGAGGTATGTTAAACTTGTTCTCCAAAGTTTTTTGTTCAGTGTACACAAGATATATTTTTATACCTTTTCCACGTGTATCATATTTATATTTATGTCACGTGAAAACTATATATAATTGAACTTTTTGTATTTACTATAATAGATATAACTTAAAGGAGTCGTTAAATTTAATTAAAGACACTTTTTTCATAAATTGCTTTAATACATTTATAAGAAAAAAGAAGGACACAACTTTTTCTATGATCTTGTAGAGTGTCCTTGAACTGGAGTATCGTTGATCACAAAAATGGAATGCGCACGTGTATTGGTCATCTCGAGAAATGCAAATAAGCCTCAGAATTCCAAGTAATTAATTTAGCGCGTTAATTTTTAGAGATCGAAATGATATTATTTTCTTTCATTATTAATAGTAATACATGGAAATAGGTACATTGTTAATTCGTTTACCAACGCTCACTCGATATCGCGTGTTCGATAGCGGGTGGTATATGATCGATCACGCGATATCGCGTGTTCAATTGTCATTTTAACGAAAATAATTGTTTATTTATGATACTAAATAGATTATTTAAAAAAGACGAAAGATTTATGCATTAATGGGTCAATAAAATAATCACACAGTATATTATTTAAATCAAATTACTTCAATTTATTTATGAATATATATTCGTATATACAAATATAAAATATGTAATTGTAGATAGATTGTTAGCGTAAATGACATATGTGAGTGTGTATTGAGTGTTACTAATTTATAATAAAATAACATTTACTGGAAATCTGTATCACTTGTTGCATTAATAATGTGATGTGAAACGTTAACACTTATCATTGTAATTAATTCGTTGTTTCTCTTATCACAGCCAAAGGCAGTATTTTTTACTTGCATGGATTCCCGGATGATACCAACTAGATTTACGGAAACAAATGTTGGAGATATGTTTGTTGGTACGAATTTTTATTATAAACATTCCTGGCCATGTGTTTTTTGTTCGTTTGATAGTTTTAATGACCTAACCCATAACTGTTAACAAACTTATAGGCAATGTTGGCAGAATGACTATTGTCACTCACTCGATATCGCGGGCTAAGTCATTGATTCTAAATATTTGATCACGCGATGTCGCATAATGAATAGACGACGATAGATGTCTCTTCACGCCATATCGCGTGTTCTATTGTTGACATTTTTTAGAACATATCGCGCAATATCGTGCGCTCAATAGCCACTGTTAAAAGTCCGCTCATGCGATATCACGCGTCCGATCGTCACCGTTTACCGATGCAGCGGTTTGGCGCCAAAATTTGAAAACTTAAAACCTCTGCATTCATAAATTCATAATGTACAAAGTAAAAAATTTGTAGTTTAAAAATTTATTAAGAAAACTTGTTCCACTATGATTGCATTTCACCATAAAACTTAGAATATTATAATTTATGATTTCTTTAATTTTTCAGTGAGAAATGCCGGTAACATTATTCCTCATCCCCAACATTTTGTAGACGAGTTAACAATGTGCGAACCAGCGGCCTTAGAACTTGGTTGTGTTGTGAACGACATAAGGCACATTATAGTTTGTGGACACAGTGATTGCAAGGCTATGAATCTATTGTATGCGCTACGTGACGAAGAATTCGCTTCCAAGGTGTGTATTTAATAGTTTCCAATAATCTGCTCATTGGTTAGGTTTATTTACGATAATCATTGATTTGTAGGTGAACAGGAGGATATCACCGTTAAGAGCATGGTTGTGCGCGCACGCTAGTAGCAGTTTAGCGAAGTTTCAACAGCTGGAAATTACTGGTTTCGATCAGCCGATACTTTTTCAAGCAGAAACCCCATTACGAAAGTTTGTGGCTTACATAGATCCTGAAAATAAGTTCGCCATAGAAGATAAATTGTCTCAAGTTAGTAGAAGCATAATGAAGTTATTTATGAATTTACAGATATTCATACGTATGTTTCAATTGCAGGTAAATACTTTGCAGCAGCTGCAAAACATAGCTTCTTACGGATTTTTGAAGAAGCGTCTCGAAAGGCATAATCTGCATATTCATGCTTTATGGTTCGATATTTATACCGGTGATATTTATTACTTCAGTCGGGCTAATAAAAGATTCGTGGAAATAAATGAATCGACCGAAACGCATTTACTTACGGAAGTTAGGAAATATTATTCTTAACTTATTTTATGGTTGAACACGTTCGTTATCAGCTGTGGTTTCTTTTTCTTATAGATAGAAAATATTTGTGATGTCCTAAATTTAGTCACATATACATGTGTAACGCGGGTAACGAACGTAACACTTTGACGGCCATTATTTGTGACTGTGATGCTTAACAAAATTATTATAAAAAATAAGTCATTTTTCATCATATCTAAATTGCAACGTTAAAATATAATTCCGTTAGTAATCTCTAGTTAGGCATATCAAATTATTAAAGATTCCATAAAATGTGCGGCCGTCAAAATGTTTAGGAATAATTTCTAAGAAATCTCAGCATTTTATGGATTAAGACTGAATAATATTTGACAACGATTCGGTTGGAGATCTTATAATGTACCTGTATATGAAAGTAGCAAGCTTTGTCTCTCTCTTTTACTAATCAAGTTTTACAAACAAACAACGCACAAAATGAATCATTCTATTCAGAAATATTTATGCTGTGTATAGGTTTATATAAGACGTTTTATAATGCGTTATTATTTATGCAAAAATTCATACATAACATTCTGATATAAGGATGTCTGGGCAAAATATATTTATTTTAAATAATATACAGGGTGGTTTACTGAAATGTGGACACATGAATATCAAATTTATAATTATATATAATTATCTAGAGAAATGGTTCAACCATTTTATAGAATACATTTCTTGGTAGAAAGAATTTTTTTGAAAGTCATTACTTGAGGACATTCCAAGGTCACTCATGGAAAAAAGTGCAATTTAAATAATAAGGATATTTAAATATTTGTAGGCCACACTGTATATGTATAAAACAATCATTTAATAACAAAATGTAGATTATGATCATATACATAACAAAAGGTTGATTATTTATATGATAATGAAATGTTTTAAAATATTTTGTACATTGCATGTTACGTGTAAAGTTTATGAACATGCATATATTTTTCGAACAATTTATAAGATTGTATATAAAGGTGTAATTATATGTGTATACTTACCAACAGTATAAAAATACGTGTGCATTGTTGCTTTTTGTTTGATCTCCGCTTTAATTCATTTAACGATCCACTTGGTTTCTCAGCGATCTGGTTCAGTATACTTTTACGCTTGAATCGCGCGAAGTTTGAAGTCGAGGTATAAGGAGTCGGAGGACGTACCGTACTGACGAATGGATGCTTTCGTGGCCAGGCGAACTAGAGCGTGCCACTCCCGAAAGAGAAAGCAAAACAACGAACTAAGGTGCAGAATTAGGATGATGGTAAATACGGTATCGGTAGCTCGAGTCGATACGTCGAGTTGTACGCAAAAAAGAAACTTTCAAATAATCATTACTTTGGTAAAATCTGCACAAAGACTTAACTTATAACTTCATTTTCAGCACGTTGGCTGCCATGGTAATCATATCCAAAGTATAATCAAATAATTAGCAGACAAAGAGCTAATTGTTCCAAAGTCACGAGGTTTACTTTTCATTTACTCCAGAATTAATAAACTCTGGCTACATACAATTGTTAATAGTGTAAAACACTAAAATCGCTCGTAAATATCCGACATTCAAATATTGCCAAATGTCACAACACAAAAGAAAACCACTTGTAATTAGGAAGAAAAGAGCATGGCGGTTTGGTAACTCAGGGAACTCAATGCAAATTTGCAATTTCTCCTTTTAGTTCCATAATTCAATATATACATAAAACTTCCATAAATCGTCTGGAGAAGTATGTCTTCTACGATTTACGAGTAACAGTGCATTCACCACCACGTTACAAAGGCGCACGAATACAATCTAGAAGACCGTATGGTATACGCGAAAAATGGCTCGAGTACAGCTCACGCTTTTCAGTATGTTTCACGGTAAAAGTGAAGAGGATTTTGCTTGTGTGTCTAGGCGAATCGTTGAGTTGGGCCGGTTAGGCCGGTCTACGGAGTGTAACGAGCTCTTATGCATTGGCGTAGCTGGGATTTTTGTCTCAAAGGGATTAGTCGTTCATTATTAGTCGTTCAGTTATATCGTCGAGGGTTGTGTAACCATGGGGTGGTTTTGTGGAATTTAGAAATTTGGGGATTTAGGAATTCGTGGAGGTTTTGGGGGTTGGGGGACTTGGGAGGTTGTGGAATTTGAGGGATTTGAGGACTTGGGAATTTGGGAATTTTGGGGATTTGAGGAGTTGGGGAATTTGGGGGATTTGAGGACTTGGGAATATGGGAAATTGAGGGAATTGGGATTTCGGGGTTTGGGAATTTGGAAATGTGGGGATTCGGGAATGTGGGGATTCGGAAATGTGGGAATTCGGGAATGTGGGAATTCGGGAATGTAGGGATTCGGGAATGTGAGGATTCGGGAATGTGGAGATTCGGGAATGTGGAGATTCGGGAATGTGGGGATTCGGAACGTGGGAATTCGGGAATGTGGGAAATTTCAAATAATCATTACTTTGGTAAAATCTGCACAAAGACTTAACTTATAACTTCATTTTCAGCACGTTGGCTGCCATGGTAATCATATCCAAAGTATAATCAAATAATTAGCAGACAAAGAGCTAATTGTTCCAAAGTCACGAGGTTTACTTTTCATTTACTCCAGAATTAATAAACTCTGGCTACATACAATTGTTAATAGTGTAAAACACTAAAATCGCTCGTAAATATCCGACATTCAAATATTGCCAAATGTCACAACACAAAAGAAAACCACTTGTAATTAGGAAGAAAAGAGCATGGCGGTTTGGTAACTCAGGGAACTCAATGCAAATTTGCAATTTCTCCTTTTAGTTCCATAATTCAATATATACATAAAACTTCCATAAATCGTCTGGAGAAGTATGTCTTCTACGATTTACGAGTAACAGTGCATTCACCACCACGTTACAAAGGCGCACGAATACAATCTAGAAGACCGTATGGTATACGCGAAAAATGGCTCGAGTACAGCTCACGCTTTTCAGTATGTTTCACGGTAAAAGTGAAGAGGATTTTGCTTGTGTGTCTAGGCGAATCGTTGAGTTGGGCCGGTTAGGCCGGTCTACGGAGTGTAACGAGCTCTTATGCATTGGCGTAGCTGGGATTTTTGTCTCAAAGGGATTAGTCGTTCATTATTAGTCGTTCAGTTATATCGTCGAGGGTTGTGTAACCATGGGGTGGTTTTGTGGAATTTAGAAATTTGGGGATTTAGGAATTCGTGGAGGTTTTGGGGGTTGGGGGACTTGGGAGGTTGTGGAATTTGAGGGATTTGAGGACTTGGGAATTTGGGAATTTTGGGGATTTGAGGAGTTGGGGAATTTGGGGGATTTGAGGACTTGGGAATATGGGAAATTGAGGGAATTGGGATTTCGGGGTTTGGGAATTTGGAAATGTGGGGATTCGGGAATGTGGGAATTCGGAAATGTGGGAATTCGGGAATGTGGGAATTCGGGAATATGGGAATTCGGGAATGTGGGAATTCGGGCATGTCGGAATTCGAGAATTTGAGAATTTCAAAATTTGAGAATTTGGACATTTGAGAACTTGAGAATTTGAGAATTTGTAGATTTGGAAATTCTCAAATTTCTCGTCATCCAACCCATAACGAGGGTAGACCACCCCAATTCCCAAACCCTAGTTACGCCAATGCCACCGTAGCACGGTTACCAGGAAACCGGAAGGTGGGGAAGAGATCCAAGAATTTCCTTGGTCTCAGGAGACACTGCGTCTCTTTCCATCGATGTCTCGCACCCCACGAATCACCGGTGGCACACTGGCCTGAATCACACCGGGGTATCTATGACAGTGGGAACAGGTGTGTGTGCGTTTGTACGTGTTACCGTACGTGTACTTTATGCGCGTAGTATGGGTATTAAAAAGTAAAATCATGCTACCTTTTATTCTTGAACGTAAGTGAGATTTAGAGCGAGACATTTTTACGCGATGAGAGTTTTATGTTTGGAACTGTGTGTGATTCAGTCGGTCGATAAAGGTGGTATGTAGTAACTTCTAGGGCGGTTAGGGGATTGTACATCCTTTATTCTTTGGGTTATAGGAACTTTACATTCAATGGGTATGAATTAAATTAAATTTTATTATCTTCTTGAGTTTAACATTGCATCGATATTGTAATTTTTGGTTTAACCTGATGAGTCGACTTAAATGTTAGTGCTTAGGTTTCTTTTAATTAGAAAGAACTTAAGAGAATATTAATTAGGAAGAAGTAGTACAAAGATTATATTATTGGCAAAAATATATACAATGAAAAATTATAAAATTTTTAAATATTCCATAAAATCATAAAATTTTTAAATATAAAATTATAACATATAAAGTATGTATCTTCCGAAAGAGATAACTTTGAAACGGTAATCTAAACGAAATACATTTTGATCAGAGTCTGAAGGAGTGACAAACGTCCCCGTCAAAAGGGACGACGTAACAGTAGCAGATTTACTTTGGGAACCTGTCGGGGCACAAAGACGGTATCGCAACAGGCGTTTTAAAGCGTGCACAGTACCGAGTTTCCGCGAAGAGTGCCGCATTCAAATTGGACTCGGTTACGAAATTCAGGTGCACGGTAGTCTTCCGGTCCGTTTACCTGGATGGATGAACAATGTTGTTTACGGCTGTGGATTGCGCAGTTTTGTGGCCAAGGGACGGATTACGGAGTTTACAAGAGCCACAGGGGGTGAACCAGGAAGTCAAAAGATCGACAGCTTTCCAACCCTCTGTTCACCGCAATTCGTGCCTTCTTCACTTCCGCCTTGCAGTTTATTTATCTTTGATAAATGGCGGAACGGGGTGCTTGAAATATTGCTTGACTATTATTTTGAGATTTAATCATATTTACTTCTGATTGGACAGATTATGTATTTAAAATTGAGGATTATAATATGTAGTTTTGAATAAGAACTTCAAGTGGCCATATAGGGGGACTTCTTGTTATTAAAATCACAATTAATATTTGCTTAATTATTTTATCTTTTATACTTTATATGTATAATGTCTATCATATGTATTATTTTTTATACTGTATATTTCATGGTCATATAAGAAGAGCCATATAGTGGGACTGTATTACTACAATTACAATTAATATTTGCTTGATTATTTTATCTCCTATACTTCATAAACATATACACTTAACATGTATATATATTTCATGGATATAAAAAGTGCCATATAGTGGGACTGCCTTACTAAAATTACAATAAATATTTGCACGATTATTTTATGTTTTATACTTCATATGTATAATTTTTATTATATGTACTATTTCTTATGTTGTTACATTTCGTGACCATATTTCATGACCATATAAAAGGAGCCATATAGTGGGACTGCTTTACTAAAATTGCAGTTAATATTTCTTTGATTACTTTATCTCTTATATTTTTTAAACATGTACACTTAACTTGTATATATGTATCATTATTATATATATTTTCTTTATTGTGTATTTTATTAAATAATCGATAAAAATTAAGTTTATATCACAACGATAAAAATGACCATAAAATTCGAACAAAATAAAGACCATTCCAGCAACAAAGTTGCAAAACCTTTGATGAAAATTCAAAATCTAGCGTGCTCGATAAAGAAAATAAATTAAGGCGGTTACGCAATAGCGGCGCACACATCAAAGTCCGGATAATCAATGACTCAGCTGAGAAAAAGAAAGAAGGAAAAAAAAAATGGAATGCGATTGCATTTATTGGGAAACGTCGCGCTTTGCAAGAAGCTTTTCGAGGAGTCGCGAAATTTTGAAACGAATCTGTCGCCGGATCACGAGCGAGAGAGAAAGATGGCGTCGATGTCACGATTTCGCACGATCTCCGCATCTTTTTCCTTCTTTTTCTGCTCTTTCGTTTTAGACCGATCGAAGAAAAAGAGTGCGTGGCCAGTGGTGTGTGCCGAAGCATAACACGCCGTAGCCCCCGGTGGCATTACTACTTCGTTACGCTCGTATATTTTTCCGAAACCTTATTCTTGTACGAGCGCTGTTTCGCGGCGAGCAACGCTCGTTGAC